GTTGTGGGGCAAATGACCATTTTGGTCCGCGTCGCCCCTGTAATTAGTTTTAAAGAAAAAAATATGCTCACTCCCGATGTTAGCAGGCGTTTGCTTAAATAGCGGGTCATTTTCTGTATTTATTCGTAGCGGTAAACGGTAAATTTGCTTTTCTAAATCTCGGTTACAACTAAGTAAGTCAAATAATGGTTAGCGTTTTCTATCCGTATTAAATATTCATCTGCTTCTAGCAGGCACTATTTTTTTAATGGCTAGCGAAATGTATCTTAAAATTTCTCCGAAACGTCTGCAATGTCATCGACTTCGTTTCAGTGCCGACCGAGTTGTTAGCATTTATGACTCGTATTCGGAAATTTCCCGGTGAAATCTCGGCCGGGAGACCGGCCACCTTTACTGAGAATTTTATGGTTTTCCTCAGTCCCTCCAGAGAAATGGCTTGTAATCACTAATAATCATGTTACTGGACGCTATATAGTCCAGCAACTGACTGCGTCGTTAAATAATTTACAAATAAATCGACACAATGTGACTGGAAAATGTATCAAAGAGTACAATCTAACCGATCGGCGGCCACTGGCGTACGCATTCAGCGAATCGTAACTTTTCCAGCCCCACGCGTATTTTGGAAAACTGTCCTTCGTGGAGTCTGCCTTTGGTACGCATTTATTTACCCTCCATAGTAACCCACCTAGATGAACCGACGTTTTTATACACCCAGTAATTGATCGTATTAATGTATTTCCTAACATTTACTTAACATATGAATATTATACCAAACCAAATGGGGCGAGGGCAGATGATTTTTGAGGGTGGTGAGAGGGATGGAGACTGAATTTATTAATTACGTCGTAATATTTTGAAGCTCAGCCTCTATACCTGTAGCATTGTAACTGTTGAATATTGATTCATTGGTGCACCAAATCATCGTCCATTCATACGAGCAGGTGTCCTAGTTCCTTGCCCTAGTACGAGCTGGTGATTGAAAACGTTTGCAGGGAATGTGAGAGGAAACTCGGTTGGAAAATTTCGCCGTCCGAATACGTGAGGCGTATAAAGTTGGAGTGCCCCACCAAGAAGGTAGTAACGATGGCAATGGGGGCAATGGGGACTTGTGTTCAGGAGGTATTGTGTTTGAACCTTGACCCGGTTTTTCGCCTGGTTTCTCTGTCAGATGAGTGCTGGGATGGTGCCTGAAAATAGGCCACGACAGGATCTTTCATCTTTCGCAATGAATCCCCATCTGAAGCGACGCTCAGTGTTTACAATCGTAACATGTAAAGATGTGATTCACACGGAATTTGTTGATATAGGCCAGGGCTCTTTTTGTGATCGGTATTCTTACTTACCAACCTTTCTTTACATAGCTCCATTCTTAGTTACCTGTTCCTTCAATTTTTCTTTAAACTGCGTAGGCTGCTGCGTTATTTAAACATTTCATTACCTGTTTAATTTTAACCGTCTAATCACAATAAAATATTTTATTAAATATTAAAATATTATTACTACAATTAACATTTAATATTTAAAATATATTAAAATGATGCTCTTTCTATCGAAATGTTCGATTTACAATTAGAGCATCATATTTTTCACGACATGTTTCGGTTTTCAATGAACCATCTTCAGGTGTATAATCGATATAAATTCAAATGTAATATTCTAAATGCAATCCTTCGTCAGACTGTTAAAATTAAACAATTATAATCATCACAATATGACGCAACATTATCATCTCATTTCATTACCTGTTTTACAAGTTATTCTGAAATCTACCTAATGGTAGTGGCACTTGTAAAATAAGAAATTCTCCTGTTGTGTTTTAAGAACTTTTAGGCCTCTTTAACGCATACAAATTGCATCGAAGTAAGGAAGTAAACTGGCTTAACACAGATAAGGAAAGTAGGTTGAATGTTCCGGGATTTGAACTTAGCCCGTCACTAATAAAAGCTGTTACGAAAATTTTAATAGGCTGTGTCGCCATATGTTCAGAATGTCTGGCAACGGACTGTGTGCGCTATGAAGGCCTTCAGAAACGAAGTTCGTCTGTGGCGAAGGGTGCGTGAGTCATTGAGTTATGTTTGACTACACGTTTAACATTTCTTATGCGGAAAACGGGTGGATATGGGAAATTATCTTTTAATCGCGATTAAATATTAAGTAAATTGTATTTGTCGCCACGTGTTTGAAATTATTTTAGTATTCGTGTTCAGACTTGTCTGACTACATAAAAAACATATTTCTTGTAATTTCTGTAGGACTAGAAGCTGGCTCGTCTGTTTATAGATGCGTGATTATAAAGTATGTAGTTCAGTTTATTGCATATTCCGATTGAAAGCTTCGTACATATCGTAGATTGGTTTTATTTTTAGAACTAATGAAGAGAGGGGCATGCTGTTAATAAATTTGTGCTCCCCAGAGCCTCTTCGTAACTCTTCCATGCCAGACTCCTTTATCTCTCTAGCTTGTTATGTGCGGAATTACAAGCTATACCACCGCTCGTTCAAAACGCTGGTTTGACTCTTGGTTGCGCAGTAGCAAAACTTTTTGCGTCATAAATTGGAACTAATAATTCCCATCAAGGTGTTGGAAGCTTGTACTAACATGCCGGATCAGTCTCATACGTATTTAAAATACGAGTAATTTTGTAGATACTGAACATTTCAAATTCTAGGAAATAACACGTTCCAGAATTATCGATACTTAAATGTTAAGTTCTTGCACTCGTTTCGAGTACTGCAAGGCATGTGTAAAAGATAGCCCCACGTTTGGGAGCGATTTTATGTGCAAGGATGGACCTGATATCCAGACACGAATTCTTAAGGGCGAACGAAAATAGTCGGGAACAAAAAATATCCCGTGGGCAGAAAATTACACGCTAATTTTAAAAGTAGTATTTCTCTCTTAGATGACTGTCATCTGGGTTCCTAGCGCCCCCGCCCCGATGATGGAGGCAGTAAGTACCTCTGAAACATTGGTAAACTTCTACCAGACTACAACCCAGAATACAGGCCTTTAAAATCTCAAATCCTACTTTATCACGTTTCTCTTGTGAAAGATGAAAATTTAGAAGTGTTAATTTGTAAGGCTCTGGAAATTTACTTAGATTAAAGAATTACGTGGGGCAGAATCAGCGTTTGGAGTTGCAACTTTTGTTTTAAAGCTTTCGTGCAGACTGATGGCGCATATTGAAAATAATCATTAGAGTAAGTTATATAAATCATTTGAACTAATGAGACATTTTGGGTTGAACCGGGAATCGCTTTGGACTACATGCATTTCGGTACAGATAAGTCCTGTGCATCGTTCTCCACCCACCCTCGTAGCAAGATGAAAAGCCACTCAATCCAAATTTAACACTCACGATTTTAGCTTTCACTGGAACACGGTGCCAAGTTTTCGTACGCAGTTTCAACTTGTATTGCTTTTAATCATGGTCTGCACAAATGAATGACAGTTGATAGCCAGCCCATTGCTATTTTGGACAAGTGTACTAAGTTTGGAGCATGGGATGGGCGAGTATTGACGAAACCAGACAAAATTAGCTGTTGCGCGTATAACATGGTAACTAACAGATCCCAGCGATTGGCTACTGGAACCGTGAATCATCTGGCGACATTTCCTTCAGTCTCTTCGGCTCAGAAGCTGGGATGACACTTCGGAGTAGGATCCCAAGGCAACTTCTACCCACATTGATGCCAATTTAACACTATACAACAACTAGTTGACGGGACCAAGTTTAATAACCCGAGAAACAAGCTTGAATTCCTTTCGGAATATGGACATTTGTGTGCTTTTTTCAGGAGGCTTACTGTTTCGTGGTGGACTGATTCATCATCCAAGGAGTCGTAATTAGCCAGTCCTTCAGCTTTCGGTCTCGCGTTGCTGTACAGACTATTAATGTATACGGTTAACGTCAAAGCAATTTTATTTTAATTTGGATTTTAATAAGCGAGTTACTTAATGAAGAGTGATTTTGACTTGCCGGAAGTTGTCAACTTACGTCATAGGTGAGGATGGGTTGTGACGTGGAAGGAGGAGGATAAGACTGCCTTGAGCATCGAAGCGTTTCCGATCGATTAGGTTTGCAATATGCAGTATTTCTTGTTCTTGCGTAAGGCACCACTATTTTTTAGAATACTAGGGCAGAACGCTCCTTTCGGAGCTCCTCGGAGGGGTTGGTCAAGTTTTTAAAAAGCAACGAACCCCTTCGGGGGGGTTGGTTGCGTTTTAAAATCTTGAGTAAGACACTAAACTCGGCATTGTTGTGTTGTACTCGGCATTGTCGTGTTCCACAACAATGCCGAGTTTGTTTATACTCGGCATTGTTGATGACGTAATTTATTGACAACGAGGAATCACAAATTTTTATAATAGATAACATTTATGTATCCCAAATTCCGTTCCGTCCTGTTTCCCTGGTTACTGCCGATGTATAATGCATACGGAAATCTGTATTAAGGGCTTATTTGCTGCTAACAGCCATGTATATTACAATTAATAATGCATATTTAGTATGAAAAGAACTTATGACAAAGCAGTAAGTAGTGGGAAATTCGTGTGATGCCATCTCCTTTTTGTTTTTAAAATGTGGATTTTATAAAATTCTTGTAGTGCTCTAACTTCATGTGGCGTTTAAGACTTCAGTGTATCCCGTTTTTATTTGCATTGTTCATCAAATACATTAAAGACGTTAATTTCACGTTGACATTCAAGAAAAGTGCCTTTGTGATGCACATAAGAAAGGCCTTCGAATGACAGTAATTTTAACATTGTCCTTCGAACTTCACCTAATTCGCATAACTGATAAAGGGTTTCTGGTTTTTTTTAAAAGAATTTCTTATCGATCATATCAGCGTCTTTACCATCTTATTGATCGTCATTGATTGAGTGCAGATGAGAGCTTCTCATTGTGTACATTCCTCCATCCTGTCACCCGTTGCTTATGTAAAAATATTTTGTAAACAACCTGTGTACTGAGTGTAATTTCCATTTTGTTTCAGTTCCTGGGTGAGACAGTCCTCACATACATGGAGTTCCAGTTGGACAGTGGAGAGTATTGCCAGGCTCAGCACAAATAAACTGTCAGCGTCCTAGTTAAATCGCTCCTCAGGTAGACAGGCAGTCTCCAGACCTCTCTCCGTTCTGCCCCATTCCACAAGGTCCAGAAGAAATTGGCTATTGAGAAACCGCACCGGGCAGTGCTATCTGGTGAGCCCCACAGGAAGAAAACTCACCTTTGTTCAGAATCTTTTGAATGGGCTGAAAATTGACATCCACGATAGCTCTGTCGTCAGAGTTTGGGCAAGGTGTTTCCAAGGTCGGATTGGATAATAGGTTAACATCGGGGTTTAGGGAGTTGAACAGAAGAGACGAAGAGTGTCGAGGTAAGGGATTCCCGGAGGAGGAAAACAGAGTGTGGCTTATTTTCCGGGCCCATCAGGTCGCCAAATTCGGTGCGAGTTTTGTCGTCATATCGTGAAATAGTGCGCGAATTTTTTTTAATACATAAATATACGTAAATATAAATTGGTGTTGTGTGACTCCAGTTCCCAATTCCTGGCCTCTGGATGTAAAAATTTTTTTAAAGAATTTTCGGTAAACATTTTAAAATCAGTTTCGCCCGTTGGTCAGTCTTGAGTTGAGCTGTTCAAGCAAGACCCTTTACCAGCCAATTTTATAAATTATACCAGTATCTTTTTCTTCTTCTAAAGAACACATTTTTGTTGCATGTAGTGCTGTGCTAAAGTGTGAGTGGATTTAAAACGAAAATAACTCTAATTTTAGTTTTTCTCTCTTTTTTCTCTGCTAGTTTATTTGGTCAACCAACGTTCTTGCGTATCAAGAAATATAAAGACAAAATATGCTTTTTTAAGTTCTTCAGTCAAGCCAAACATAAGTGATAGATCTGAATTATTTTCTCCTGCACAAGACATCACTGGTAACTTGTAAGAGTGATTAATTTTTTTTGGCTTTTCTGACAAGGTGGAGTGAATCGTCACTTGACAAGACTTGTTTTGTTTTCTCTCTCCCTTCTTTTTTTGACTTTGACATTCAACAGTGTTTTATCTTCCACGTGTGTAAAAAACACGCAAACCGTATATTAGCAGCATTAAACAGTGATCTTCCTTTTCCTTCTATTTTGAAAAGGAGCTGGACTATCTTTTTTCTCTGTCATCGTTTCCGAGTCTTCTAGTGGAGCAGTATTATTGTCTTGATTCAACACTGCTACAAGAAAAATACAAGTGTTCAGTTGAATACAATTTTTTTTTATATTCATCACTGTGAAATGTCAGTGAGTACCGCCAACATGCGTCTTAAAGATATCCGGCCAGCTCCTTGCGAGATAGAATACAAGAACATGAAGTTCCTCATCACAGATCGGCCCACCGACCAGAACATCCACACATACATCCAGGTAAGAATTTTGAGGTAATAGTTTTCATTGTTCTGATGAACAAATTAAATAACCACTCCCACATCGCCGGTCCTTCCATCCTTTTCTCGGACTGGGATCTGTTCATATACGTTCTTGGCAGATTATCCAGAAGTGGTTTGCCATTGCCTTCTTCTGTGTGTGAATGGAGTAATTGTTGGGATGCCACGGAGGAAAACTCCGTGTTGCCTAGACCACGGCCTTTCCCAACACAAGTTATAAATTCTAACCCGAGACCCCAGGATTACAAGGCCAGCGCTCTAACCGCTAGACAAATTAATCTGGCAAGAAACTGAGCGCGCAGATCGGAGGTACTTACGTGTCTTTGTGTTTATGGATATGGCCACGTGATGTGGCATGACGAACAAGCGTGGCACTCTTACGCGTTTACAGTTCTCACCCTGCTTGTGTCCTGTTAGATGTTCGGCTTTTTTGAATGCTTTTTGTAGTAAGCAGATGCCCGGCACCTTCGCGGTATTTGCGTGCTGTTGCCCACAGCAGAACTGTGCCAATCTGGGGAGCATCCAAGAGTCTAGGAGATAATGGATTATCTGACCCATGTGCCCTCACTAAATAATGCTAAACTGGTGGTATCCGGTCACGGCGTCAGGGTTGGCATCATATGTATGTCTTTTAAGGTGTGATGAGGAAAACTGAAATGTTAATGGTAGTTGCGTCTCAAATTTTTATGTTCAAGCAATTAGTCTGTGATAAATTAAATACTTGAATACCTGTTGCTGTTGGTATGGTGAATCTAGTGCTCAAAAGGGCTAGAATTTGTAAGTATTAATAGTAGTTGTGTTGTATGTGGGGAAATAGAATCAGAGTTTAAGCCAGAAGATGGATTGGCATTCAGACTGTGCTTCAAGCTTTGTTTCTTAAAACAGATGTTCAGTTTTGAGTGTGTTTTATGAATAAAGTGACATACTATCGTGTCTGCCTCCCTCATTCTTATGGTTCCCTCCAAGAGTTGAGAATAAAGTTTGTATTATTAACCTTTAACTGCCATAAGGGACAGAATTTACCACAATGTCGCCTGCTTCAACTGGAAAGGTTGATTGTTTAGTAGTCTCAGGATCAGCAGTTCTTGATTTCTTTTTGGATCCTGTAAACTTGTTTTTCTGTTGCTTGTAAACCAGTTTTCACTTGATATAATGTGAGCCCCCCCCCCCCTAAATAAAAATAAATCAGTATTTATTAATCCTATTTGGTTCCCAGCAGGGGCAAGGATTTTTGTCCCCATGACAATGTCCAGACTGGCATCAGAACCCGGCCACTCTCCCGTCCAGTGGGAAGTATTAAATGGTAAAGGGGCTGAACTATGAAGCTTACCACTTGCCTCCATCAAGTACTGAAATGTAATATGCATGGAGTTAACCTTGATCCCCTTCTATATCTTTCTGGTATGGTGCTTGGACAGAGGAACAAGTAACAATTGTCGCCATCTTGTGTTTAGGATGTTAGGTCACTTGATGACCCATACTGGCCTTGTTCATCAAAAAATGTCTTCATTCTTGGTTTATTAATCATCTGCTTTCTCATCTCCCATTTTTGCCTTTATAGCGTCGGGGTTGATTGCTCGGTCCACCTCCTCATCTCCATGGGAGCTATCTGGCCGAACAATCTTTGTTTCTCTGAATCATGTTAAAAACCAAGTGTGGGTTGCCAGGTTTAGAGGGGCTACCCCCTAAGCCACCTGGCTGAGGTTGGTCATTTCTTACCACCTCTGTAGTTCTGGTTTTGCCGCCAGTACTCGGGTGGCTGATTGCAGTGGCATCCAACTGGGCGATGGAGTCGCTACATCCCTATGCCGCAAGGTTTATTAATTTATGTGACTTTTATTTTGAATTCTTTCAACATGTTTCGAGATTTTTTCTATCAGAAGTTCAGATTCTGGTTGTTTTGAGATGTCTTCTGTTTTTGTTGTCCAGTTTTCATTCTCAAGGGATAACTTGTAGAATCAAGGACAATGAAGTGACATATATTAACTGCATAAAATACCTTCAGGATTATAGGGGCATTATTTAAAAGAAATACACAAATTTCTTTATGCTGTGCTTGTCTGTGATTCAAAGAAGCCGTTTATCCTCTAGTAAGCTTTTTGGTGTCATCAGTGGAGCGTTCATGTTCTCACGCCTAACTGACCAGTCTCCATATCCTTCAAATTCAAGGGAAAGGCATTGTTAGTTGTCAGTGCAGCTGTGCTTAAAATGAATTGGGATTCTGTTATAAAATCTTTTTCAATGTCTGGGTGTCAGGACAGTCAGCTGACATTTTTAGACAAGGCAGTCTTCGTCTCTGGGTTGTAGTGACAGGCAGCAGTTCTAATTTAAAACATTCACCAATCAGGACATAGGAATTTTAGAAACATGGACAAATCAGTTATTGCCACAGTATAATGCAAAAAAATTAAATTGTATTGGAAACGCATGATAAAAACATATAGGGTCATGGAGGTAAATTGTAACACATTCTACATTTCTCTATTAGGTGATGACAAATGGTTACTTTCATGCTCCTTGATGAAACAATCATTAGCATCCACTGAAGTTTCTACGAGTGCCATGGCGACACCATGTGAGAAAGCTATATCTATTCTTAGCTGAATTTATTCTTTTCTGGTTTTCCTTGTAGTCTTTTCATTTATCTTCCCTCACTTTGTCTTGCCATGCAGTATGTGGCATTTTCACTTTTGGTGCTCTTGTAGGAATTGTATTGTCATCCATGCGTGCCACTGTCATTAATTTGGCAATGTATTATTATAATGTTTCAGCCATCCAGCTTTTGCCTAACGTCATAGTTTTGGATTTCATCCCTTATTGTTAATTATTCAACATTTTACAGAAACAGGAGAAATGCATACAAATTGTGGTCTTCAGCCACAAGAGAAGGGGCCGTGGTGGAGACTTGGTCAGTGATGAAGATGGTATCAGCGTTTGTCTTAGAGATATTGGGTTTGAAGATGCATCTAGGTTGAACTTGTTGAGGGAGTCCTGTATAGTTAGCACAGAACATTGTACACTTCTTCTGTCTTTCAAGCAGTGGGCTTTACAAAACTTGTTTTTGTTGTGTTGGTATTAAAATAGGTGGGTTGTGTTTCAGGAACTGAAGAAACATAAAGTCAGGGATGTAGTCAGAGTGTGTGAACCAAGCTACAAAATCGAGGAACTGATGAACGAAGGCATCAACGTCACTGACCTCGAGTTTGATGATGGAACTCCTCCTCCTGTTCAGGTAAAGAACATTTACACCATATAGTAGGAAATTACAGTTCATTTATTGTCATTTTGTCTGGAGTACATCTAGAATGGTGTATCTAGTTATTGTATGAGAATATTAAATTCACTGATGAATTGGCTACAAATTGAAACTAGTTTCAGCAGCCATTTGTGACTTTTTTGGCATAATTTATTATTTCATGATCTTTCTTGAGCAGTTTATATTTGTTCAAGAAATTCAAAGAGGGTACTTAGCAGTACTGAGTAGTTTTTTTGTAGAAGTAATGCTGTGAAGATTTCTGTCTTCTGGGTTGTTGCGCTGTGTAGTCTGGTCGATGTTTACCAACGTTTCAGAGGTCATACTGCCTCCGTCATCAGGGCGAGTCATCACCCTTATGACGAGGCAGTATGACCTCTGAAACGTTGGTTAACATCGACCAGACTACACAGCGCAACAACCCAGAAGATAGAAATCTTCATACTCATCGCCCTGATGATGGAGGCAGTATGACCTCTGGAACGTTGGTTAATATCTAAAAGACTACACAGCGCAACAACCCAGAAGACAGAAATATTCATACTCATCGCTGTGAAAACCTCAAATCTTACATAGAAGTAATGCTGTTTCTATACTTGGGAGATACTTGATATATTTTGGCAGTATGTATCGACATTGATTTAAACTGTATGGAGTTTATTTATTGCTAAATTACAGATAGTTGAGGAGTGGTTTGAGTTATTGAAGAAAAGGTTCCGAGAAAACCCCGATTCCTGTGTAGCTGTGCACTGTGTAGCTGGCCTAGGTCGGGCCCCAGTGATGGTAGCACTTGCACTAATTGAGCTGGGAATGAAATATGAAGATGCAGTGGACTTCATTAGGCAGTGAGTACTGTAACTTGTTGCTTTTGAATGGATTGCTTTGCTCTGAAAAGATGCATTGTACAAAGGGACACAAGATGTAAAGGTAAAGCAAGCTGAACTTGCGACCTGAAGACGTATGGAGGAGTGGAAGTACAAATCCATATATTATTAACTTTGGCACTGCAAAAAGGTAAGTGGTGAGCTTCACTCACTCCTTAGCTGCACTAATCCTGAAGAAAGATCCCCAGTACCCATTGAAGAGGGGACTCGCCAGCCGGCCCTGGAGCTGGTCTGGGTGTGGTGGTTATGAGTAAAATCTCTGCCTTTTCCTGCAATATAACCCCCAGTTGTTCAGCCCATAGTATTAGCATTCTTCTTCCTTTTCCGGTTTAACAATGTTTGAACATTTTCCGGTACCCTTTACGGGTCCCCAACCTTTTTCAGTTGGCTTGATCTATGGACATTCTGTAGGACTCCTTGGACGAGGGATCGGCCATCGCAAGGCCTCTACCTGTACACAGGACAACACAACACAGAAAAACATCCATGGCTTGAGTGGGATTCGAACCCACGGTCCCCGCGACCAAGCGGCACAAGACCCACGCATCAGACTGCGCGGCCACTGCGGACCTCCATTAGCATTCTTAATGCACATTATTTTACAGAAGTTTGATCTCTTCAGCCCCAAAATCAGACACATTCATTTCCAAGTTTTGTACTGTTGACTCCAAGCTCATTTATGATTATTCTGAAGTTCAAACTATTGCAAGCAGGATTTACTTTATTATATGTTTCTAGTTCAAAGATTAGTTTTCATATTTGATTTTTATGGGTATATTTCCAGGAAGAGACGTGGTGCCATCAATGCAAAACAGCTGGCTTACCTCGAGAAATACCGTCCTAAGTCTCGCCTTAAACTGAAGAATGGCCACAAGAATGCTTGCTGCATCCAGTAAGCAGTGAACTTCATGACAAACCAGCAAAACCAATAAATAAATCCCTTGTGCTGTATCCATCACATTAGGTTTTCTTGTTCATCAGGTGGATGAATGATGTTGCTTTGTTTTGTTCAGGCCGTTGAAGATTTTAATTTTAATTGGTTATACTCGATAGCTATTGACTGAATAGACATCTCGTCTTTTCAGACATACGTTTAGAAACTCCGTATAATATGTAAGAACAGTATGTTTTATAATCAGTTTCTATTGGCTGCTGCTGCATTTCTTGTTTTCAAATTTGAAATTACGTGGAACTGTAGAAAATATTTCTGCAGAGACATGTAGTTTGTTTTGGATTTAGGAATGGTTTTATGGAGATTGAATCAGGAGTGTTTTCATAATTTGACTGCAGTTATTTTCATACACTATAAAAGTGAGTGTTTTAAATTGGATTTTAGTAACTGGTATGCACTTTGGTGTAGGGTTAGAGAGATATAACATAAGAGAGGAACTGAGAAGTAGGAAGTTTGTTTACGTGATGCAGAGCTACTGTAAATATTTTCTTGATCAAAGCACTGCCGAAAAAGTATCAGGTTTTGTACAGTAATGAAACACTGTGTTCACAAAAAGTATATATATGGAGTCCTAAAATGGTAAATTAGCATAAATTTCTGAGTAGTGCTGCATATGTATATTCATTTTCCAACTTTATTTGAAGCTCAAAGCAAAACAAAGAAGGTAAAAAGAGTAAAACTTGATTTCAAATAATCAAAATTATAATTTTCTATTCAATTTTAAAATAAATTAGGTAAAAGGGTCATAAAACTGATTAAGAAAACTTTTTTGCAGGGCAGTTTCGGCAGCTTTGAGCTGAGCATGGAAAGGATGAATCATGCAAGTTATGTATCTGTAAAAAAAAAAAAAAAAATTAATACAATTAAGGGTATTTATGATACACGATGTATGAATGTTCATTTTTATTTGAAATTAAACACTGCATAAATTGCTACAACTTTTGAATTAGCTCTTTCTATGAACTTGGTTTGTTTTTGTTGTGTTCAAAATTTATTAGTGGTTTCTAGAACAATTTTTGTGTGTATATTGGATCTGTGTAAAGCCTAACATTAAAAAAAGGCTCCATAAGTCTGAGATGGCCAAATGGTTTTTCAAAAATGTTTAAAATTAATATGAAAAGAAAGAGAAGTTTTAATGAAATTTTTAAAAGTTTGGAAAGAGTCGATTATAGGTAATACCAGCATGTAATTTCTGTATTTCACCCAGACTACAGCAGTAATTGCCAAGGTTTGCTTAGAACAAAAATTTATGTTAGTAATTGTTCCCAGTCAAGAATGATACTGTTTGTTGTTCCACACTTGAATGTAACAGACTTTCAAAGAATGTGAAGATGGAAATGTGCAGTAACTGAATTTGTCTTCTGCTAAAAAATGAATAAAAATAAAACTGGTTTTCCTGGACTGGTTTGCCATAAATTGCTACCTATAAAGTCCATCTCCAAAATAATTTTACAGACCTCTGAACCTATTTCCAGGAGTTCCATCTCTTTCATTGTTTTCCAAAAGACTTTTTCACCAAAATTCAATATATTTTTTTTCTTTTCCCTGCCAAAGATTCTTGTGCAACCCAACCTTGACAGTCAGAGGAGACCTGCACAAAGTCTCACACATAAAAGGCAAACAATTTATATGTTTTTACTTAAATCTAACATGTCGTGGTGCTGCTAGCAGATACGGCCAGTCATAGGTGATCATGTGGCCATCTGCATCACATACCAGCAGTTGACCACATGCTGTGCAACAGAACAAGTGTGTTGTGATTAAATGCCAGCGTTCAAAGTGCAGAATCAGTCCAAATAGGACCAACAAGATATCCAACATGCGTAGCAGTGCGTTCCCATGGCCCTGCACCATCCATTACATGCCATCCTGGAAGGTGATGGACCATATCTCGGTCTAGAACTGACACTGTGACTTTTGTGTTTGGCTCCTCAAGAGAATGCTAAAGGGCCGCCAATTCAGGTCAGAGAAGACAGCAAAGCCATGGTGGTTGCTGTGGTTTGAGCAAGACCTCTTGAGTGTTCTTGGGGAAGGAACTGTCAGCTAGTACATCAGTGGGATGTTTGCCTCAGTGCCCATGATGACTATTTTTAATGGCACTACTCCTTTACCTAGAACAATCCCTGATAATGTTTCATTTGAACAAGCCTTATAATTCTTTAGCTTCAGACTATGACCTTATTCAGTCAAAACTAATCTACCTCACTATTTTCCTTGTAGTTTTTTTGTCTGGTTGATTTTTAATTCATACAGTATTTATTGTATTTAAGTAAATCTTATTTGTGTGTATATATGCATTTAAAATGTGATGTATGTTTTTAAAACAGGAGGTCAGTTATTAATAGAATCTTGGGCCGTCAACCTTGAAAGATGATTAAAACTTGCTAATGTTTCAAGGACCATCTCTGTTTTCATCCTGAGGGCTGCTCTGGAGGTTGGTTACTTCAATGGATATGCAATACAAAATAACTTGTAATAGTTCACATAAGATAAATGGGGAAAAGTTATCCCTGTGTCTTACGTGCTATGTCATGGAAAGTGCCAAGGAGTGCAGAGGTATAAATTACTTCCAATTTTAACCTTAGCATTAGATGGGAGCGATCAGCCTCAGCCCAACTAGTATACCCCAAAGAAAAGAGCTCATTGAACCCATTAGATAGGCTGGGAAGCCCCAGTCAGTCTTTAGTATGATGTAAAGGTGAAAGTAATTAGATGGCTGTAGTCGGGTAGAAGTTTACCAATATTTCACAGGTACTTGCTGCCTCCCATTAATCATCACCCTGATGAAACATTGGTAAACTTCTGTCTACGTGGTGCTACAACCCTGAAGACTTCATACTGACCATTGTGAAAACCTCAAATCCTACTATGAAAGTCAGATCATGGCCATAAGCTCTGATCTTTCATTGCTTATGTTAATACCGTCATATCATTTTGGGGCCCCGAGTCTGAAATATTTTATAAACCCTAGGTTTAAGCATAACATGTTTAAAAACCAACACAAAATCATTCTTCAAAGTTTTGCTTTGAACAAAGTTTTCAACCAATGAAGACTATCTTTTATGGAGAATGCATTTCAAGATATTTATCAAGGAAAAGAAGGTGCTACAAAGAGGTACAATACGAGTATAATCATACCCTGCCTTATATGTACGAAGGGCATATACAGATGATTTATACTAACCTGAATTATGTGATCCTTGATGGTGGTGGCTCCCAGGTTACATTTCGGCCCGTTCCACGTATTCTCCCTGGAGGTCAATGCACCGTTGCCATCTCTCTGGCAATTTCCGTATTGCCTCACGAGACCATTGTTTGGGGGTGTCTCGTACCCACTCCCTGACAGCTTCATGTAAGGCATCACTATCGGGGAATCTGTGACCACGCAGGGGATTATTCATCTCACGGAAGAGGGTATAGTCACTTGGTGCCAGGTCGGGGGAATAGGGCGGGTGTGGGAGCACGGTGAACCCCAGTGACTGCACGTGCAACTGTCTTCAGTTGGGTGACAGGCTTCGTATGTGACAACGAAACAGTGAAAAAGGGATCCAGCAGTGGTCCCAGAACATCAAGAACTCCACAAATGATTCAAACTGTGTTGGAACTGATCCCCTGCGTGGTCACCGATTCCCCGATAGTGACGCCTTACATGATGCTGTTAGGAAGTGGGTACGAGACCCCCAAACAGTGGTTTTGTGATGGCAACGGTGCATCGACCTCCAGGGAGAATGTGGGACGGGCCAAAGTGTAACCTGGGAGCCACCACCAAGGATCACATAATTCAGGTTAGTCTAAATCATTTGTATATGCCCCTCATAAATGCAAGTATCTTTATTATAAGTATGTATTATAGATTAACACAGACAAAGAAGTCTTATAATAAGCCAAACAATTTACATAACAGTGCTCTACCACCATTAGCAGAACAAATTTACATGAACATGTCATCGTATCCTGGTGGGGGCAGGTGGTCTGGATCTGGTGTTCCAAACCCTCGCCGAGGACCTCTTTGCGGACCAACATTTGGAGGGCCGAATGGATCAAATCGTGCACCTGGAGGTACACTGCCTCTGAAACAGATTGACGATCATCATAAGTTTCTTCTTTCATAAGAATGTTCTGCTATTGTACGTACCCTGTTCATGAGTTCTGATTTCAAATGTTCTGCCTGGAATCCCCAATAAATATTTGATTCCTATGTTATTCAATGATACTGTTTCAACTGCATGGCCTATTTTAACCCACTTACTGGTTGGAGTGACAAACACTGGACTGAGAAATTAATTTGGGACCCTTCCAGAGTAGGAGGCAAACTACTCAATGTGATGTTCCTCATAACACTTTAAGAGGATTCCACTGAATTTATGTTTTTATTCTGTTGCATGTCTGTGGATCCTTGTCTGGATTTATGCTGCATAATGTTTTATTTCAGGTTATTCTGACTGCGTAACTCAAAGAAGTGACTGGCTAAGGGCTGGACAAGAGCAATTTGAATCCTAGCACAGGCAAGAGATTCTGAATGTTATCACCATGTCCAGACTTTCAACAGAGCCCAATAAGCCTCCTTCTTTAAGGATCAGGGGCACTTTTCTCACAGGTACAGCATCCACAGTATGAAGTTAATAACTACAATCCATCAAGTGTCAGGGTTAAGAGTGTGGCTCTGTTTCTTTACAGCATGGTACTTATGTAAAGGGACAGCTTTTAAAAAGTCCATCGGTGTGGTGTCCCTTGAGACTTGTACTGTTTCTCGGTCCATAGCTCAGCAATGTGTGAGCTGCACAGCTGATACTAATACCATACCAAAGGGGAATTCACTCATGCCAACCATTACTTGTTAGGTTGCTAAGTGGCCCTCGTAGATAATGACAATGAAAGTAATGAATTCCTTGCTTTAACTTAATGAAGAGAACCATACCGTGGCAGGCCACCTGGAATGCCTGCTCCTGGATCTGGGACTCCTCGTCTTCCAAAGGGATTGAAAAGCATCCCACCTCCACGACTTAAAGGGTTCAAGTCTGATCGGCCCACTGCCAATGGATCACGAATTGGATCCCTAAAAATGTATTTACATTTAAATTAGGACCAACTGCTTTAATTTATAAATATATTTCAACTATATATATATATATATAAAACAGTGGTGGAGAATGATTCTTGTTAAACCTCGCAGTACATACTGCCTTCCAACTTGTTGCAGATTTTACAGATGTTCTATCCTTTTTAATTTTAATTACAAAATTATTTAAATAGAGTAACATTATCTGTCACAATAAGAATTAAATATGTAAAAATTATGGGAATTATTTTTTTTAAATATCACACTAAAATTTAATTGCCATAAAAATATATGTTTATTCACCAAAATGTTAAGATGTGATTGTTCAGTTGTCTAGATTATGTAGTATCAAAGAGAATGATGAGTTGGAAAGGAAGTGGCACTATCCTTGAGAACAGGGAATCTCACAAATATTGTCAGTCAGGATAGCTGACTCCAGTAAAAGATTTAAACTTGGGGACACGACATTCATTCAGTCTATTTCAGGTAGCCAAAGAACCCAGCTCAAATTTTAACAAGTTATCTCACAAAAGCAATTTACAAGTCTACTTAAAAACCAGTTTTAATGTTAATGCTGAAACATCACCACCCCCCACCCCCCCACCCCAAAAAAAAAAAGAGAGAGAGAGAATGGATATGAAATTTTTAAGTAGCAATAAGGAAGAATGAACCAGCACAGAATTAGAAATGTAATTTTTAAAAAACTTGAAATCCTAAATATATTAACAGAATTACAAGAAAAATTACTATATTTTGCCATATAAAGTGACTGATAAAAAGTTGACAGTGGAACCATGGTTCCAGAGAATCTATCGTAAATACGTCTTTGTATTTAATTATATTTAGGCAATAAATACAATGAAAGGAAGTTTATATATTAGCTTGATAACTTGCAATAATTGCTTCTTGTGATTTCTATATTCCCTCACACGTTCAGCATTAGTTTTTGGTATTTTTTGGGGAACTTCAGGTTCATTATTTAAAGTTTTCTGTACTGTGTCATATATTCTGCATTACGGATTGCTTTAGTTTCAATGTCATCCATTTTGTTATCTCTACATAGTATGACGCAACACACAAATGCAGCAACAGATTTCTTCTACAAGCGATTAACAGTTCAGCTCTTTCCGCAGTAACGAAAGCGGATTGTTGACGGCAATAATGAAACAACAATGACGAGTAAACAAATGACGTTTCCTAGGTAACATAACCATTTTGTCGGTCCATATTTACACATTGTTGATATGGATCTTACACGTTTTCCTTTCACTTTTTTGCCGAATGACCCTTCCGTATAGACGTATTTACGTCAAAAAATGATACCGAGAAGGGCATTAGAATTTACAATATAAAAGAAAGCAACACACGGAATTTCCCAGATCAAAATGGCTCAGCCAGGTACTAGAAGAAATAGAGAATAGGGAGATCTGACAAATCAAAATGAAAAGAGTGTAGGAAAACACGAGACTCTCGAGTATTTTCATTCATCAACCACATAAAACAGAAAATACGCTGTATCTTCACCTTACAAATACAAATATTTGGCCAAGTTGCTCAGTTTGCTATTGCAGGAGGGATCTGCTTTGTCCAATTCTGACATTACTGATTGTGGTTGATCTATTCAGAATGTGGCAATCACAATGAAATATGCATACCAGTCAGGATCAAATCCAACTCCTATGCCTCGCCTTGGCTGACCAATCCTTAATGGATCATCATACTCATCTCTTTCCTCAGATCTAGAACGCTCACGAATGTCTGAATTTCTTAGCACTGGGAAGACTGGCTGGGCTGTCTGTGTTGTTGCTTCCTTGTTGGTGCCAGTCACTACAGGTTCCAATAAATCTTTTTGAATGGCATCAATAACATCTTTATACTTTGGTACCAATGCTTCAATGTCACCTTTTAAGTTCTTCACTGTTTCTTCTACTTTGAAATGTATTATTGAAATGGACAAATCTGAGACACGCTGGAAAATAAACACACATTATCTCATATTTACACCATATATCCACCAAACACATAATGTTACTTACATGATAACCCAGTGAACAAACAACATGCAAATGCATCCTTCTAAATTCACTACTATTCTTCTTCATTCAACACTCAGCACTGAACAAGGTATAATTAAAACAGCACTGCATAAATAAATGCAAAAAGCATTAACATAATATTTATGTTACACCTTTGTTATTGTGCTACTATTACATGATCCCAAATGGTCACTTGCGCACACTCTTAAAAACTATACAAAATAAAGTATACTGTTGGCCTGTCAAAGCAATTCAATATTGCGAACCTCACAACTTTGAAATGTATGTCATGTGTATGATCAATGTCACGTAATGTCATTGTCTGCGGTCTCCCCAGCAAATACACATGATTACAACAGATTAACTGAATGAAACAAAGTATTATATTTCAGAGTAGTTTAGTAGAATGTTATTTGTCTCTGTGGCTTACCATATCAAATCAACATAATAAAACATAACCCTACATGTTGCAATTACTGAAGCAACAAGAAAATGCTAATATAAAACCAAGAGCACCTCACTTCAAACCTCTTAAGAGATGGAAACCCATACCAACAAATTCAATACAATATCCGCTTCAGTCTTCACTCCCTTTAAAATATATAAATCCTTATTGTAAACATATCGCAGGGAGTAAGTGTCCTCTGAACTCCAGCCTTCAGGAAGTATTTCTCCTCCAACGTCAGTGGTTGTCAAAGTTTTCTGGAAAAAACCCCCAGATATATTCATACCATCAAAATTTACTTAATCATCACCAGCAACCGGAATAACACAGTTCTACAATATATCTACTTAATGACTTACACTGTCGCCTAACCCTACGCATTTGAAACCAAATTTTATAAAATACCAATGGATAAGAGCGACCAAAACGTCTTCTTTCTTTGTTATATCTTTTACAACAAGCCGATATGTTAAATCCCAACCAAACATCTGAGAAGCCATCTTGCAAGTACAAGTCTGTCCTTCCGCTCACATTTCCGGACTATCGACTGTAAATAGTTTTGTAATAGTTCCAGTATTGTTGTGGATAGATGGAAGCACAATATACACGCGACTTTGTGCGCCATCTATGTCGGTAACACGGCATTGCGTTATTTGATCTATATGGTATGTCACTGTTACGTGTTCTAAAGTTGGTGAAAAAGATTATTTTAATATTACAAACCGAAACTGGATGGGCACAAACTATGAATTATAACGCATTACAATCCCAATGGTAGGTATTTTATGACTGTCATTGGAAGATCCCCCACATAAAATAAATATCACAGCCCAGATAAAATCTGTATACATCAGCATACCACTGGTGATACGCGAGCCAATGTTGAGTGGTAGGCAAATTAAGTATGCAAATCAAAAGATAATATTAACGTAAATAAGTTTTCCCAGAAAACATTTGGTTAGTGGTACATTTAGTGTGTTAAATAGGAATTAGTAGTGACATGGGAACAAATTTGCCTGTTTAGTATAAACACAAAAAGTTTTTAATGCTGGTGATATACATAGCACAGTGGATATTATATAATTGATAGTTGCTCATATAAGACATCATGTAACTTAATGTTTGTTTCCAGGACTGAAGAGGCATCAGTGAATACATTTCATGTCAAAATTCTGGAGCTTGCTGCCTAGGACTTCAGTGCACTCAGAATGGTTTGTAGCCCTGCATACTGACAACGAGGAGCCCTTGTAGCAAAGGTATGTCATGTCAGATGCTAATATTTTAGAGTGTGTTTTTAAAAATCATAGGATTAGTTTAACCATAATCATATGGGAAGGGGTTGCCGGCTGGACTTGGCTCCGGGATTGATGGTGCAGTGGTGTGCTGGTGTGACACACAGTCTGGATCAAGTGTAAAAGTCATGAGGCACAGATATTAAAGGTTAATTAACTCTATGAAACAGAGCCCTTCTTAAGTCCCTTTCAGTGCAAATTTGATTGTTGTCACAAATAATCTTGATGTCTGGTAAATAATTTCTCTTATGATTGCTATTTGCATATGTTAACAAGTAAATGAAGTTATGTATTTAATAACACTTATAATTATAATGCAAGAAATGCCTTTTATTATAAAAATCTTACACAAACACACTTTTAACTGAGTAACATGAAATACAAGGTTTACGTTTGCACACTTAAAACACATACACACTAAAAGCTTAAAGAAGTTTGTTTTGTAGAATATTCCACCGTATGTCACAATATAACAGAATCATCTCTTCTTCTTTGTATTGATACATTAACGTAAACAGATTAATATTTTAGGGATCATTCTGCACACATATCTCTTGAAACATGGCGTCAGATGACGGTATATAAACAGAATTGTTTCATTTCTCTCTGTCCCCATACTGTCTATTGTTATGTAGAATGACGTGTGGATTAATACAGGTAGAAGAACTTCTTGCATTAATTTTTAAGGATGATAATTTGTTATGCTCTTATTAGGAGCAAAGTTTTATATTGTAAATAATGCCATGTTCATATTACGACCCCACACTGAATGCAGTTTATATTGTGACCAGTCTTGAGGGACACAAAACAGGACATCTTGGACAGTGGATGAGCCAATCACAAAACTTCTACCACCGTAATGTAACAAAGATAAATGTAAACAGACACGGATTCCCTAAGCTGAATTTGAACCTGTGATTCCAGTAAACCGGTGGTTTTAGCCCACGTCACTACCTGGCTCACTTAAGAATATGCAATACATTTTCCTAAATTTTATCAACCTTTATACTTCTCGCAGTTTTTAATTTGAGCAAGGGACATTTATACGGAAATGTCGTTTCCCATGTCCTTTCATATCCACGATCCATACGGTATCAGTAATAGCGAACGCCTTCACAAAACTGATAATAAGTTTGAGGTTCACGATTATCCCTCTGTTTCATTTAGAAACTGAGAATGTTGTGAATTTAATTAATATAAAATATGTAGAATATGGAAATATTTTTAATGTGGAAATTAGATGCTACATTTAAATGTAATTAATCACATTTAAAGTAAAATAAATTAAAGACATCAATTTACGTTAATATTATTTTGCTGTAATTTCCCTTCCTCATGAATTTCACTTTGTAAATTGAACACCAATTCCATCAACATAACAAACCTTCCATTACAAACATTTATGTAATTCCATTTCACAGATATAAACATATAGTCATATAGAGTTATTTTCAGACTGTCCTGCTATGTTGATCAACATCTGTAGGAATTTTCTTTCACTTATGAAACAGAATTGACGCACATGTAACTTCTTTGGTTTACAATAAATATTCAGTTTGTGGTTGTCTCAAGTATCACCAGGAATTGTTATATGATTTGTATGTCCGTTCATTAGGACGGTCGGCATGCCATCAACACCATCGTCTGTGACGTCGGGTGACGTAGGTGTCGCTGTTTGCAATGTTTCCTTAAATCCAGATGGTGGAATGTAGAACCACCAAGCTAAGAAGAAAAACAGTAACGAGGCAGCTTTCCCTATGAAAGCCAAAGCCAACACATACCTGGAAAAAAAAATTGTAGAATTTTAGGGGAAAAGTATTAAAAGATTAATGATACATTTGAAATTAAAATTTCTTGAAAGTTAAGATTCATATTTTGGCTGAAGGGTAGAAATTTCATGTATGATTTTGAACGATGTCTAGTAATGAAGAGGTAATCAGGGAGTTATTCTGTGGTACTAAGAAGGTAATTACCTAAAAAAAGGCTCGGAAAGAAACACTGTATACAGACATTCTAAATATTAGTAAAAATTGATTTACTTAGGCAGTTAAACTGAAATTGTTCTATGCTGGAAATAATATTACTGCCCTAGAAACACTTCTAAGTAATATTTCATGCTTATCAACTGTGTGTCACCGCTCACATTTGATCCGGTGGGCTGTGCCTTGCCGTGTGTCACAGTAGCATCCTGCTAAACCATCATCACTGGTGGGCAAGAGACAGATTTACTGTCATATGAATTCCTGTTGTACTCACGTTGAACAGTTTGCAGATACATTTCACAAGGGGTGTGTTCCGCTGTTTATGCGGTCTGTTAAAGCTACTTTTGGTCTACGGCTTAGGAATGAGGTAAACAGCTGGAGGACTATTTGTGTGACATAAACATTTTTATGTAGTAGCATAGTCCTGCAATGCCTGAAAGCTAAATTTGAATGTGTGTATGTAACTGATTTGTCATTAGAGTTTCTATGCATGTGTTAACTGAGCCAAACCTAATATCACAGTGCACGTCTAGTGGTTAGAACTCTAGATTTATATTTGGCAGGTTCTGGAGTCAGTTCTCGGCCTAGAGGCTGGCTGTTCATACTGAGGTTTTATGTTCTTATCTTGAGTCTGCCCAGATACGTACTAGGATTATCAGTGAATTTGTCCCTGTGAAGGCTTGAGAGGAAGTGAACAGTGCAAACATTGTGACAAAATTATAGTATTTGCTCCTGCCTCGAATCACACCCTGATTATGAAGCAGGAAACTAGTCATTTTAATAATCTGCCCCGTGTAGATGAGCTGGGGTAGCTTAGTCAGTATAGTGACTGACTGTGGACTGAACTGGCTCAGGATCCGGTACAATGATGACAGTTATGGGCTCTCAGGTTCTTTGAGAACAGGGCAATTTTTTTTTAAAAGCCAGTACCATAGATTTCGTTAGTTCTTGTGTAGAAAGTTGCGTGGTTCAGTCGATGAGGCAGCTCTCTGCGCCACGTACCTGCCCATATACGTGTTGTCATAGACGAGGCAGGCTCCGTTTTCATCCTCGTAACACGATTCCTGCCATAGGATGCACGTCTCGTCGATCAGCGCCCCGAACACCATGGGCGCAGGAATAGTCCCTATCAGACGCACCTTGATCCATTGTATGCCCAGAGCGAACGATCGCTGGTCATCCTGCACACATCTGCAACCAGTGCCACAATCACCTCCAGAACTTAAGAAAAAACACCTGTACTTCAAGACTAGCCAAGTGCTCGGATAAGAGATGAAGCCACAAACTTAAAACGCTTCTTGGTGTGGACTATCGCACATCTCGTGGATCAGTGGTGGATTGATATTTGATTAGCAGGGACGACCGAAGAACTCGGATAAAAGTCTGCTTCAGTGCCTCTCTGTCCACCAAGAATCTCAGTTTAAAGATTTATGTCCTCTGGGTTGTTGCGCTGTGTATTCTGGTCGATGTTAACCAACGTTTCAGAGGTCATGCTGCCTTCGTCATCAGGGCGATGAAACGTTGGTAAACATCGACCAGACTACACAAATCTTCATACTCATCGCCCTGATGATGGAGGCAGTATGACCTCTGAAACGTTGGTAAACATCGACCAGACTACACAGCGCAACAACCCAGAAGACAGAAATCTTCATACTCATCGCTGTGAAAACCTCAAATCTTACAATCTCAGTTTAAGTCACCGGGGATTGAACCTGGATCTCCGCTGTGCGAAGACAGCCTTTAGCCCCGTGAACTGTGGTGTGGATATATCGATGTTCTCCGGAACGTCACCTAATATAACGCGGAGTCATTGCCCGAGAATAGAAACAGTATTTCCAGTACTAACCTGAGGGTTGCCGACAAAGCCGGCATTGTGCTGAGGAATGTGAAGAACATTGTTAGGAAGACAAGTACCACAAACGGCCACAAGTAAGGGCACTGCGACGCACACATTCGGTTGATCGCCTGGTACGAACCGAAACCGCGTTCCAATGTCGACGGGTCATCGTCTGTGTCACCCAGGATCACTGTCAAGTTGCCGGCCGTCGAGTTTATGCATGAGCAGTTGGTGTACACCTGTTGAAGGCAGGAGGAGCGATTAAGGAGAGCTTTTCTGGGTGTGCAGAATTCTCATTTGCGCCATAGTTTCACAGTTGCAACGTGTGGGTTAGGTTTGAACATTGTTCAAAATTGGCAAGTAAGGACAATATTATTAAACCTTCAACTCCTGTTATGTCACTTAAAAGTGTGGTTAAAAGATAAGGTTCTCCGTGACCTAAATAGCTCGCAGTGAAGGCATATACTTTCTGCTCTGGACAAAGGTGGTGTCTAGCTTCGCGCTCCGGCCACTCAGATCTCAAGGAAGAAACCTCAGCACTCATTTTATAGAAAGTGGATTGGTCTCAGTCTGGACATGATAGCCAAGACAGAAATTTATACTCCTGTCAAGATTAGAGGTTTGACCGCCCTGGACTTAAGTAGTCACTTAAGACCCCCTGAAACGTGAAGCGGCAAGAGAAATCGAATCCCTCAAAAGCCCAGAATCACTCAGAAATATTTTCGTATTTATTACAGAAGGTACTGAACGCTGTATTTATACGTCTGTTCATTGAACCGAAGTTTTATCTCGCAGAGTGCAATTACCGTGTCTGAATTAATTAACGTGATGATAAAACTACTTCTGAGTATATTATCTATAAAGTATGTTAATTAATTGCGAATAATTAATATTGATTTAATGTTATTCCCACACTATCGCGGATATAATTACTCGCTCTAAATAATCGAAATGGACACGCTATAACCCCCTAATGGGAGTACTTCAGACGAATCAATTTCATGGTTACGAACTTTAGTACAAGACTCAAATTTCAGTACGCATCAGACATCAAGTTAAAAGCACTGTAACAACGCGGAAGTTTAGCCGTAAATTTCCCTCTCTAAATGTGAGCTGTCACACTTGTGACATGGCTCTCCGTCTCAGCCTCCCCGATCCTTTACGATAACGCGGCTGTAAAAAGATGACGTCCCCGTAATATTGCCGGGTGGTGCTGTGTCCATCTGGGAAAAGTGACCAGGTGGAACTAGTTGTCATATATAAGAGGTCGGATAACATAAAGACTCTGCCACTCTGTCAACCCTACATAGATTTTCATCTCACTATCATTAACGAAGCACTGACGATCGAGTCATGGCTGTATAAACATTACATCTGTTGTGGAAGAAATACCACTATCTAATTCTAAAGAAAGCATTACATTTGTTTCCTGAAATAAAAATTTGCATTGGAGTTTTAAAATATCTCCTAAAAAATATTTGTATGGCGAACCCCGCTAAGTTATGAGAGTGAATTGTACGAAGTGGCTAGTACAGTACTCGACTGTAATCTTGAGACTTGCAAGGAATGCAGTAAGTCCGTTGCGATAGAGGCACCCCACTTCCTCACCCCGCAAGTATCAAGATTACAGTCGCGGACTATACACGTAATTTGTAATCCCGGAGTCCTGTTTTATTTATTTATTTATTTAACTTTTATTAAGTACATCTAAAAATGCTTCAAATAAAAGTTTTAAGGATCTTAATATGATATATAATTTATGACACTTTCCATCTTTTTTACTTTGAAATTTATTCATAAATATTACACATTTTAATGTCCTTGTAAAATCTGAAAAACCATCACAAAATCTGCGAACAGTTATGGAGACAAGGCAGACGGGCATGCACAGGGTTCCCATAAATTATCCGACGTATCCGCCGCGTGGAAAGAATACATAAAAACACGACACAGGATAGATAAAATGATACATTTCTTCCCCTGTCGCTGCTTACCTTAGAATCGTGGAGCGAGATCTCATGCATGCAACCCGCATAACATGGAGAATAGTACATGACGTCGTCTAGCCCACAAATGGGGTCGAACTGGGTCCTACTGCATCCGCAATCCGCGTTGCAGGAGCTATCCAGGGAAAGCTTCAGGTCTTTGCTGCAGTGAAAAGAGAGATGCATGGACATATTTTCAGCTGGTCAAGAAATTCCCAAACGATGTTCTTCAGTCTCCATCTTCGGCCCTGAAGATGGAGACAGTAGGTTTCTCCGAAACGTTTATATATGTCTACCTGAGAATCTACACGGCGTCACACCCCAGAACATTATCGCCATAAAAATCTCAAATCCCACAAGAAATTTCCTCTTGTATGGAGTCTGATGAATCATTACAGTGTTCACAAAAGCCCTATCCAGAGCCAGTTATATCCACTCCGAAATTCCACACATTGTTTCTCATTTTCATATTCTAATTTTAATATTATCTCCCCTCCACCTACACAGAGGAATTCCAAATGGTTTCTCTCATCACAAGGATTCCGATTAAAATGTGTATATTTTTTATATACTTCATTCGTGCTGCATACTGTACCCATCTAATCTTCATATTCTGACAGTCTTGAAATGCGATGAAATTTTGAACATATCTGGTCGTAATAGGACAAATGTTTACCCAATCATCGTAAGAGTGACTATAGATGAAGATTATAGGCATACATTGAAATCGGTGTGTAATTTTCTGCAGTAGATATTTCTTAATCACAATATTTTGCTCTCAAACGTCCTAAAATAAATTCTCCCCTTGAAGTGGGAGACCAAGTTTCGTACCCATAAAACACTAGTAAGATCATATTTCATACTCATAAGCTTTAATGTTTAGATTTTAGACAGGGCGTGGGTAGTTGATAAAATATTATAGACTGAATTGTAGAAAGCATTTTCTGAATCTGATCTGTTGTTAAATTAAAAAGGAATAATTATGCACACAAATGTGGCGAATTTAGGATATTTCAAATATCCAAGTTAAAACAGAAATAATGATAATGAATAACGCATAACTTGGTCGCTTTACCCCGATTTCATATGTATTCGTGTTTTAAGTGACCATTAAGTTCGTTCTAAGAAAGGAGCAACAACTCGGAGTCTTAAATCTGCAGTGAGATAAGAAGGCTTCACATGGAACTGAAAATCTGCCAGCCGTGAAATTGTGTTCTATCCTCAGTGCAGACCAGACTTTTGCTTAGCAGTTATTTTCTGGCACGTTAGTATACTCACTGCTGTCTGTTCACTGAAATTACTGCTTCAATTTAACTGAGCATATGATCATAATAAATAGGCGTGTTGTAACATCCAATAAACTAGTGGCACGTTAAATTAGACAGTGATTCATCAGTTATAAGCGGACCAAAATATTTCACGGGAACGTCTTTGAAAGATGTCACGATTCACAACTTCAAAATTCTGGTTAGAATGCTGACAGTATAGGACCTATTGCTATCACATTAAAAGTTCTCATGGCCGCTAGAAATTAAGGATATTAGTTTTAACAAATAGGCCATACTTCTCTAACCCAGAAAGTTCTTATGAATGTTATGTTAAACTTAAGTATGATAAGTAAGATTTTTAATGTGATTTGTTATTGTGCGCTGAGAGTCGCATGTTATCTGCGCTGTTTTATTCGATTGTATTTTATGAACGAGTATGCATCCTCGGCTAAGTATCGCAGAATAAAGTCGTATGAGGGCGACGTTGAAGTAAATATCCACGTATTCTTAATTTCGGTGTTAGTTGGAGGATTAAATCGACTGAACATTCATTAAGTGATTGACTGATTAGTTGAGTTTAATATTTGTTGTAGAATATCACAGTATCTTCAAGTGTCAACAGATGACGCAAAAAATTAAGCTTTTAAGTAGTGATTGTTTCCAAGCAAGAAATATCATTCTAGCGAAGGAAAGGCAAATAGTTTGCACTGACCTGGTATTTCCGTACGGGTCCGTAACTCCGGCGAATGTGAGGTTAGGACAAGACAAGAAGAAACACGCGGTGAACGTCACGCCAATCAGAGTGGCGATGACGCAGAACCTGATGATTCCAGCGCAGTGGAGACTGAGGCGTTTCACCAAATAGCCCCCCAGAAACGTCCCTCCGCCCCCGGCAGGCACTGTCACCAGCCCTACACAGGCGTAATGCTTGTAAAAGTTTCTCAGAAGTTAGGAACTGAAGACAGTTTTTACTTGGCATATCTGTAACAGACTCTGACGGAATTAACACGCGAGAAATGTACTGCACATTTGGTGGAGGAGGAAATATGATTTCCTTAAACTGCATTAACCATTTGATCTTTCTTTACTTTGAGGTACTTATGACTCGAGCATTTAAATGTTATTTACGTGAACCTCTAGCTGTTTGATATTCCACAAGAAAACATCTTTACAACAAATTCAGTGTCATTAAATAATACAGAGGCTTTCATCTATCTCAGGATAGGGACTGGTGGAAAGCTTTTGTGAACATGACAACAAACCGGGTTCTATAAAATGAGGGGTATTTCTTGAACAGCTGAGGGACTGTTAGCTCGAAGCCACGCTGGTTACGGGTCAGTTCAGTGACTGAGAAACACGTGAGTGAATACAGTAACACGTGTTTTAGGGAAGTAAGTTGTCGGGATGAAGTGGCTCACTATTGTGCCCAGTGGATGGCATTCATGTTCTCGTACTGGGCAGTTCTACTATGAAGGATGTTAATCACCGTACCCATGAGCAATGCAGCCGAGCTCGCATTTACGCTGAACTGGTTCTCGATGAGTTTCGGCAGGAAAGCGGCGAACCCAGCGATGAGCAGACCCTCGCTGGCCCCCGCGAGATTCAGGAAAAAGAACGTCGGGTTAGCGATGAGGCTGCGAAGCGCGCGAGGTAGCTCCTTGATCTTGGTGAAGGCCTCCGTCTTGCGGTTCCCGTGAGCCTCTGACACTCTCTCCGCCTGCAGCGCCGCGGCCCCTCAACACACACGACACCGTGAGACTCAGCAGCAGGCGATAAGAAGGAATGGCGATTGAAGGACAGGAGGACGGAAGGAACGAAAGAGAGAATTAACGCAAGAAAAATACCGGAAAGGAATACAATGACACAATTCTTTAACGATACTGTCAGTAGTTCCATTTCCCTGTATAGTGTCATATAGAGTGATAATTAAAAAAATAATTGGGAAGGATATAGAAAGGAGTGGTCGTGGTACTATCCCGGAATTTGTCTTGGGGACAGAGGAAAACCACGAAAACTTTAGTCAGGCTATTCGGTATCTGAGCCGAGATTTAAATCCTGGACCTACTGAAAACGAAGAGACGTAACTTTCGGTAGAAGGAAGTGCATAAAAAAGATTTAAGTTTACTTCTTAAAAAGGTAAACTGTGGAATGTTGATGCTCTGTATATGTTTGAAACAATGTTATAAATCTTAACGGAAGATACGAAAAGGCAACTTTTAAAACTGATATGACTCGGGGTAAGATGCACTACTGCGCACTGCGCATGAAGATTAATGCGTGATACGTCTGCGCATGCTCTTAATTAAGTCTTTTGTCACAAGAGGTGAACTTACTTTCAAGATTTGGTCGGAGCGAGTGGGTACCCCAATAATATTTTCTTCCGTGTCATAACGTAATTTCTTATTTAACGAAGATTAATATGAATGGAATTTTATGTGGCACTGGATCTTGTAAATGAATGCGACGCACTTAGTCTGCTTATTAATGTAACGGTATCGAAATTTGCTGCGTTCAGTCGTTCTGAAACCTAAAATTCGATACGCCAACGGCGAGTAGATTTAATTCAGGTTAACTTACCTGGAAGCGCGGGCGGGAAAGCCAGAAGTGGCACTGCTAGAATCGTACACATGACAGCGGCGAGCAGGAAGCCTATCCACCAGGCGCCGACCCACACATTGCTGTTTGGTGTTAGGCCCAGTCTGAAACGAACAGAAGTAGGCTCAGAAAACCAGTTCGGTGGCCATATGCAAATAATGTTACAGTTTCCTTAAGATTAAGCTTGTATCTGTACGAACCAGCGTTAGAAACACGGGGTGAATTTCTGGAACGTATTAGAATGCCGTCATTTCTCAAGGACAGCGAGGCCTTTCGAAAGACAAAATAAACGTATTGGCGGTAATTAATTTCTGTTATAGAACATGACGGAGTTGCATTTAATAAAATCCGTAATGCGTGCTACATATTTCGCTTATCTCATTTTCCACGATTTGGCAACCATAATATTTGTTGAAAGGCATTTATTATAATGCTCCCCATTATGAAATTTCTCTGCCCTGTTTTCAATTCTTTATTTAGACCTGTTGTTGAGTAAAACCTACTGAATTGTGTCATACGGATATCGGGTAATTTCAGGTGAAAAATTTACAAAGATTTTTACGATTCTAGATAAATTGTAAATATGATATAGTTAATAATCTTGCACTTGGACCATTTTATAAAACTTGCACATACTCTGTAAACCCTTTCATTTTGAGTTACAGCTCTCTCCCCTATTAATATGAATAAAATCAGTGGAACGAGAGATTAATTCCTACGTGATAAAAAAAATGCACCGGCTGGAAGGGGTGTCTGTGGCGAATTTGGTTATAGAGTTTATATCTCTTCCGTGCGTCTTTCCATCCACATTTTTCGCGGATTTTGCGGCGATAATAACTTGCTAATCAATTCCATTTTCCTCATTTGAAATGCAGTAATCGTTGTTCTAAAATGTGGTCCAACTTCCTTCCCACACTTTCCTCAGAACGTGTAGAAGCATAAGGCATAATTCGCCACCCTTATACTGTAATCATAAAGCTCCCCCCCCCCCCCCTCCACACACATTTCATCCGTGCAAAGTGATGCATCCAATCTGTTTGTTTAAGTTCTTCCCCCATTCCATCTCATTCCTCAGTCTTTGCTTTCACCCATTCCAATCCCAACGTCTGAAAGGCGAGGAGATGCTGACGGTTGGCTGATAAACTTTCGTCTGCAAACAACTTCTAGTCCTACACTCCTGTTTCATCGCCAGTAGCTGCCCCCTTCTAATCCTGTGAATATTACACCGTAGGGACAAGGGACAGTGAAATTTATGTCTTGATCAGAACGTGCAATTGTTTCTACTCCCAGACCTGTAAGTGTCCGCGGAACACAGAGCCTTGCCAGAAAGATTTTGTGTTTTAAAAGTGGCTGGATAGTCGTCGTGAGTTATTCGCACTGACGAAACATAAAGTATAAAAGAAATGACTTAGAAGTAGTATCATTAACAACTCGTTCTGATGGAACTGAACTCTGACGCTCTGAAGGTATTCACTCACGAACTAAACTGGACCTGGAATGGCCCAGATGTGTATTTAACGTAAATTTGCTAATTTTGGCGATGGAACACTTTCTCTGTAGTACGTGTGAGAATAAAACCGTTAAATAGACGTTATTTGATAGTATCTGGATTTTGTCGATGGCCTCTTCGACTATAGAACGAGAAGCAGGGATATGTCAAATTTCGAAGTTGGCAATTTTTAATGAAATAATTGATTAGGTTCGACTTAATTCATATATAGACGCTTATTAGAGAAGTTTGAAAGGTATAATACTGTCATATGGTGCGTTGTTCAGTATGGTTATGAAATGTAATCCCGTATTCTAATGGAAAATCACAAATTTCAAACTTTTGAATATAAGAAAACTTTTTGACTTAAGAAGTATGAATTGCCCTGAAAATTTAAAGTACTTCTCCAACGTAAGAAGGAACTTTGTGATTTATGCGTGGATCAGGATCTAAAGGAGTATTCTTGGAAAGTTTTTATGTGTATATAGTACAAAGACGCTTTTCATTTGTTTGCCCCTTTCTTGAAGATGAGAAGAAAGGTAAAGAATGAATACGTGAAAGAAGGCAAGAAGGAAAAAATAAATAATAAAACAGAAAGGGAAAGAAGAATATGTTGTAGGTGGGAAGATGTTGACGATGTCTGACGTGAGTCCAGTCCGCTGCGGCTTTGTTGATCATCTCACAGGAAGAAGGGTCGAGGAAGGCTGATGGAAGAAATGGCGATATTGTAACATTAGCCTGCAGGGGTTTGAGCCCCTCAGTATGAGGCGGGGTGGCTCTAACTCCGCCTGTTCCTTGCCCGTGATTCTGCAGTAACCAGAAGGTTTAGGGTACAGTGGTCGCTAAGTCACAGATAAGCGGTGCTGTGGGCTCCTTGTCAGGTTTTGCCGGGCCATAGGAAATAGTGGAAACGTATATCTATGGATTTATCAAAACGTTCTTCAAACGCGTTATTTTTAATATTTTGCACACATCTGCCTTGACGTTTATTTATTGCAGACATCTGGACATATATTTCTGCATATATTATTAAGAATTCAGTTTATAACAACATTTGGAGATGGATGTTTCAACATATTATTCCAGCTTTGCCTCGAATGGCTGAAAAATACCACAGAAGAAATAAATGGCATTTCCTTATCCGACCGCCGAATCTTTCACCTTTAGTGCTGGTGTCGTTGACGCAGATAGAAAACTGGAATGTCTTTATGAAAGCAACTTAAGTCACGTCGTGTCCATATTTCATATAATAAACTGAAAATATCTACATTTTTAAAGCAGAAGGCAGTTTAATATTTTATTAAAATTTATCATAAATCTTTCTGGAAATAAACAGAAAAATAAATGGATTTTTTTGAAAACAAGTTCTTTTAGACCTTATGTTAAGCATGTCGTGAAGCCCCCAAAGGAGGTGGCATAATACTTTAATACCGTATAACCATTCAACTTTATTTCTTGCCTTCTCGTATCTACACGTCATAATGTTGGTATTCATAAACGATGCTGAAACGAGCTAAAGGGAGTACCGCACACATTCTCGAGTACGAAGTGCTGAATAGTCGTGGGCTAAGAGACAAGCTTTGGCAGGGGGCAGATGGCGCACTCATATACGGAAACTAAAAGGAATATAAATACAGGGGACTGAGACATTTAAGGTATAAGTGGCATACGAGAGCGATGCTTTCAAGACGACTGTGCAAGAAATAAGATGCCCAGATGATGTAAATAAAAAATATAAGAAAGACAAATATAAAGAAAGCGGGGAAGGAAACATGAACTCCCTGTCCTCTTCTACTTCCCTTATTCTTATATAGGCTATGCATTGCTCTGTCTAATTTTGGCTCAAATATCGACTGGGTTACCGGCAGTCCTTTCCCCAGCATTTTATGGTTTTCCTCAGTTATTCCAGGCAGGCGTATATATATATATATATATATATAGTTTCACAAAGACCACGTCCGCTTCCTTCAAAATCCTACCAGATTCATCGAGGGTGATCACCCTCTCAGAATATCCGAAACTAAATAACCGTTGTAGTTGATACAGAGTCGATAAATAATATATCACAATTCCATCTGAACGTGTGTATCTAGTTAAGGGTTGTATAGTTTTTATTTCTGCTGGGTGCATCCTTTCTTTTTGTCTCTGTCATGCCATTTCCATGTTTGTCATATTTTACCATTGGTTTAGCCAGCGTTGTTAAATACCGGCACAGAGTAGCATTGGTGTGAAATTATGGGTTTGTTTGCCTAGTATCATTATCATTGGGTAACCATTTTGAATGTTAAAGGGGATATCGTGCCTAATTTTAGCATGCCGTTATGTATATTTCGGTAAACATATTACTATCAACAAGAATTGTGTTTGATGTTCGACGTGTGTCGTTTATACATTGCCATGCAGATGTGTGTAATAGTTTGGTCGGGGACCGTAAGAGAGAGCAGCTGGGGTAAAGAAGAGGACAAAAGATGTGCTTCTGAATAATTCAGCAGGGAGGGTGTTCCTTTAAGATTACCCCTATGTGTCATCTGTCCAGTGATATTAAACTTTTCGGTAAGATGGCTACGACGTAACACGCACGATACTTCTCTACAGGTAGCAGGGAACCAGCCAGCAACTCGCCTTGCCACTGGCACAACCACCTGTGTACTGGAACTGCCGAATGACCTGCTCAGCTATCAACTGACCATGCATGTAGCATGGGATTAGACCTCGCGGTTAGTGTGTTCGGTATCTAATTATCAACATATCTAGTGAAATATATAACTTGTCTATTCATTTAAAACAACATTTCGGAAACACAGCTTCCTAAATATTGTTTTTCTAAATTACGTAAAAGGCGAAGGAAAATGTCCAAGAAGATCCTTCAGTTTAAAAATGGCCACCTGTATAACTAAATAGAAGACTGAGAAATTAACTCCAGAGTACTGACACTTCTTTCAGAAATTGAGAATTGTTGAACCGGCCAAGGACTGAAGCTATGAAGATGGAGACAATATGTTTCTCCGAAACGTTGGTATCTACCGACGAGTCTACGCGGCTCCAAACCCCAAAAGAACAGCATTTGAAGATGGCGGTCTTCTGGATTGTAGCGCCGTGTAGTCTGGCAGAAGTTTACCGACGTTTCAGAGGTCCTTTGTACCTCCATCATCAGGGCCACTTATCACCTTGACGATAACGTTGGTAAAGAACCAGACTACGCGGCGTTACAACCCAGAAGACAGCCATCTTCGGAATCTATGCTGTGAAAACCTCAAATCGTACTTAGCGTTTAATTGTATTTGTCGTGTGAACGAAAGTGGGGCTTATTCCGTATTACAGCCAACTCCATTTCATGATATCGAATCGAGGCTGAAAACAGAGCTGATACTTTGGTGCATGTTCCATCACAAATGGATTCCCACCCTCCAAGCAACTTATGATTCTGGCTACGTAGGGAAGATTTATGTATGTAAAACCACTCTAAGAATAAAATACGATGACGACGGGGGCAGGGGGAGTCAAATTCGTTCCTTTTCTGAACGCGGAAAACCTGGTCGCCATATTTCATTTGACTTACAGCCGGTGGATGTGAAATACCGTCACGAGAATGTCAAGACGAGACAGAGGCGAAGGGACATGATTTGTGTCTTATTGCCGAGTCCATGAATTACGGAAAAAAAGAAAATTGTGTTAAAATGTGCGAGTCTTACGTTCTAAGAAACTGCATAGCGATAAAGTGTGGACTTATATTCGGAAGGTACCTGTTTGAATCCCGGCTCTGTTACCGGATATCCGGTTCTATGTTTTATTAGTCGCTCCAGTCGGGTGGCAGAATAGTACATTGAAATTGGCCACGATTTAAGACGTCAAAATCATTACTTATTTACATTTAATTCACATTTAATCAGCTTCTCAATACATTCGGCGCTGTGTAAGTTAAGATTAAGGCTAGTGCGAGCTGTTTGCGCCTTGAAGAAGAATTAACGAAGAATGCATAAGATTACAGGCTTACGTACTCAAATAATTTCAATTGGTATGATGCATTTTGGGATTTATAAACTTTTTTTCGTATTCCGGTTCCCAGATACGGCTGTCCTGTCTGAGATATTTTGAGAGAAGCGTTGTGATAGTACCTAATACCTATTTATCATTAATGATCATTTTTCTGTGTATTATTCGAAAATTTATAACATCTTTAGTTGTAACGGCGTTGTTAAATCATGTTCTTAATAGAAGCGTTAAACTTACTCTGTTGGATCCACGGAGAGATGGTCTGTGTAGATCTTAAGCAGTTGACCCCCCAGTACGTAGCCGAGGGCGGGTCCAATTATGGCTGTAGTGTAGTAGATACCTACAACACAGAAATTAAATGATAATGTAATACACAAATACGTGAAAAAACTTTCCATTTTGCAATGATAAAAATCATTGTCTTAAATTACTAGCCTACAGATGATTTAAAACAATTTCGTAATGAATGAGATTTAACTGATATAAATAATATAATTTTCATGTATCAGTGAGGTGAGGTTTTGATTTTCTCCGGGCGGGGAGTCTGAAGATGTCTGTGGTCTGGATTGTAGCATCGTGTAGTCTGGTAGAAGTTTACCGACGTTTCAGATGTTCTTGCTGCCTCCATCACCAGGAGTTGCCGTGATGATGGAGGCAGCAAGAACATCTGAAACGTCGGTAAATATCTACCAAACTACACGGCGTAGCAATCCAGAACACAGACAGCAATCTTTATGTATTTCTAGTTACACGTGTAGGACTGGATATAAATTCGATGTCCTGTCGGTGTACTTTCTTTATTACAGCGTCAATTTATCAACTTCTAGTGCTCTCGAATGGAGTGCGAAAGGGAAGGGAGAAGGAAAATAGAAGCGAAGATTAAGGAAGAGTATGTAAAGACGAGGTAGAAATCCCACGAGACTCATTAATCTAATTCGCGGGGTACTCTAACCTAACTATGTATTATAATTGTTATAAATGTAACACATTGCACACGTGGGAAGGGAAACCCCTCCTCCAGGGTATAATAACAGGGCAAAATGAGTCCTCTAACCAATATTTGTGTGCTACTGGTTACGGGTGCCATCTTGCGGGGGTTACAGTCGCCAAGCTGTTATGTGGCATGGGGCTCTGGAGAATTTAATTCAGGGATGTACAAGCCTAAATAGGGTACATCAGGGAGAACTGACAATGTGCCGCGCTGAATATTTCAACCCAAGAGAAATTAAATAAAATTGGATTGGGGAAAACATTTGTAATGATAAGTGTAATAATTTGTAGGTTTCGTGTAATATCATATTATTAGAGTGATTGAATTAAGGCGGGTGAGATGGGTGGGACATATAGCATACATGGACGAGATAAATGTCGCTCGGAAATGTTCGGGGGAACAAAGCTAGGAGTATACGTGAGTAGAGTATTAAATGACGCATAAATTAATAGTCAATGAGACTGTAATGGGCAAGTAATTGCATAAGTCATTAGTAACTTGTGTGATAAATTAAGTAAATAAGTCAGTATATAAATAAGATGGTGGCTGAGAAAATAACGAAATCCAATTTATGGACGCTGCTTTGTGCTCGTGCATCCTTGAAGACGACTGTAATTGGAAGCTCGCGTTGTTTTACATAGCTCAGCTGAGGTGTGAGAAAACGCTCTCACTACTTTGTTTGGCCTCGCCTTTATACACACCCCTGTGTACAATTCGGCCCTCAGTGTCCTGTTTCCATTCACAGTCCGATTTTGTGGAAGAATTAAAACGGAGATAAGCTGTTTGTGCTCCCAGGTTGTGGCGTATTCCGTGTTTGAGTTAGTTGCTTCATCTTCGTCGCTGGTACCAAAAGAACAACAATTTGTTGTAAACGTCACATACACTACAGTGCGGAAAGTGCTGATATTTGTCACATTTACCTTAATTTACATGCGTTGAATAGAGTTGTGTCGAGTCTTCATAATGAAGGAAAAGGAATCGCATAATACTTAGGCCCTTTTTATATAAAACCTAAGATATATCGGCATAATAGTGTGTCGCGTTTACCCTGATCCTATTGTTACATAAATTCTGAGGTGAAAGTCTCCGTGGGAACGGCACATTCAACAAGTAAATATGTGTAACATCTGTGCTGTATTTTTCCCACAACACACAGCTCAGATGCAATTGCTTCTGACATTAAGCTGTTAACAAAGGGGCGTAGCATTGACGCTGATGATGGGATGTACTGGACACAAGACAAACGATGCTGGCAACACTCATCACATTTATTGCCAGAAATGTATTTATCGTTCTATCTTGTCCGCCATGTTGTATTCATGTGTGTGTTGGTGTGTAGATGATATTAATATTCTGTCTAAATTTCTGTTTATGTGAGAGTAAAAATCGGTATTCAGTACAAATTCGAAAAAAATATATTTGTAAAATCAAGTGTTTTAAATATTACACCTATCTCTAGTAGCTAACCTAGTCAAGATATTTCCCTCATTTTATGGAACTCGAAGGTTCATTACCGCGTTCGCAAGATACCGCCACCAGTCCTTGTCCTGAGCCAGTTGAATCCACTGCCTACCGTATTTCTTTAAGATTCATTTAAACTATTATAGATCTGACACTGTTTTATCTTGGGTTGAGATGATTTTGGAGGAAACTGCGATGAATATACTAGGAGTCACCCGAAAGCCAAAGTTTTATGTGCCGAAAGAGTTGTGCTCCGAGCCGAAATTCGGAACAGAAGTTTCAGTCTGGGCGAAGTTCAGCTTATTTGACGTCAAATAGCTTTAGGACATGATTAAGCGCAAAGAAACTGGAATGAGTAGGAATAAATCGCAATTGTGACATGTTTCATGACCCTCGTGCGAGAGAGAGAGAACAGTACATACAATTTTTGTTTAATCTATTCCTTCGTATGTTTTAAAAGTAACTAACCATTTCTTGTATTTTGTGAAAAATATTTAGAAAAAGTTGTTTTTCCTTTTCTGTGGGGAACTCTCTCTCTCTCTCTCTTTTGTTCTTAATAAGCAAAGTTGGAGAATTCAGGTAGCTTGTAAAAGCTGATGTTGCCACAGGATAGTAACTTCATTTAATACGTGAGCCTTCTTCTTCTTCTTCTTATTTTAATTACACTTTCTTCCACCAGGTCACATTTCCAAAGGGAAGAAGTTTGGTGGAATTAACAAAAAATTATGCAGAAGTTAGAGAACAATAATTTTATTGTTCCTGTGGGAAATTTTCAACTTTTAATTATGAGAAACATCGCGTACGTGCGTTTGTGAAGGGAGGAGCAGGGCACCGGGTTCTTTTCCTCTGCGTAAAGAATCTCTGCGCCTGCGAAAATATCTGCTCGTACCCGTTTCAGTGTTTCCAGGTGGCGATATATTTATCATATTTTCGGCAAAACACACTACGACAATATGATTTGCGTGGAACTCGAAGTTATTTTAACCATTTTAATAAACGAATTTGCTTGAAGAAAAACATAGGACCTTATTTTCATCTGATTATTCTGGTCTGTTATTATTTTTTGAATGTGTTTTCATAAATAAATCATAATATTATTTTAACAGAACACAACTTGTAGATTTACTCATTAACTCCAGGAATATTCTGGGATAATTCCTGTAACAGACCACGACCGCCTCCTTCAGAAGTGTTACCAACTTTCCAATTTTAATCTTCCCGTATCAATTGACACTATATAAACTTTAGAGACTAAACAGCGTCGTTGGAGGTCTTAAATGTTTTAACAAGTCAGGATGCATGCGATGCTATCCTCCTTGTTTGTTTGTTTGTTTAATCTGAAGTTGCGTTTTTCCGTCCACTCACCAAGATACACCGAAGACATCTTCTTCGATACGTTTTCGTCGATGAATGTGACACCCAGAGTATAAAGTGGAGAAGCGCCGGCTCCATGTAGGAGCTGGCCGACCAAAAAGAGCCACATGTGATTCGCATGATGCTCACTACCTTCTTCAAAGTCGCTGCAGTCGCCCTGCGGAAAATAAATAAATAAATGTATCGGTTAAGCAAGGAGTTCTGGAATAAATATAATGGCTGCTTCATTTTAGTCATTGTGTGTAAAATTATTTTCAAATTTTTTTTGTACCAAATTTAATATAAATGAAAATATCTTATTTAAAATTATTTTACGCAGTGGTCTGCATCGTGTGAAAGACACCTTGAGAGAGTATGGCAGACACAACAGGGCAGAAGACACCCAGAGGTGGGAAGAACACCACATAGGTTTAAACTGGACAAAAATCAAGTTCTGTCACCAGAGAAAGTAGAAAATACTTTCTTGCGAATCTATACCGTTATGTATAACGGTATAATATAATTTATTATGCAAATAAATAAGTGAATGTTAAATAAATGCTTAAGCAGATAAGTAAGTAGTTAAGAAGGCACGAAGATGCAAAAAGTTTTACTGAAGTAATAACTGAGAAAGTCAATAATGATGCACGAAAGTGAACAGGTGATCATGACCTGATGCTTACCGTATTAGTGGAAGTATTTATGAAAATTTGGCAGGTACTGGAGTGATGAGTAGTGCCGCGGTACGGACCCACGGCAAAGTGCGGGACTGTGAATACCAAGGAGCCAATCCCCATAAGGAGGACGCCCCAACCAAGCCATCGGGGTTTGCTAGCCCCAGGGCGTCCGCCCAGATACGTCACAGGTATGAGGCACGCGAAGGATGCGATGTCGTAGCCACCCGCTACCAGACCTGACTGCGAGGACCGGAGACCGAACCGGCGTTCTATGGTTGTTATCACCACGTTCACAAACCCGTTCACAACCATTCCTGAAATGAGTAGCACATTCTGCATGACACTCGAACGTCCGTAGTTCCATATTGAACATATAGACCTGAAGAACTGGATTAACAGACTGATGAGCTCTGTAAAAAGGTCTACAGACATGCATACAACACTTGCAAATCAGTAGTATTTGTATTATGAAACGTCGGCATACTTCTACCAGATACACGGCGCAATAACCCAGAATACAACCATCTTCTTACAAACCGCCGTGAGAATCTGAAATCTCACAAATTTCTCGCGGCTCTGCTAATTACTGAAAAATTCTAAGATGTCTGTCTTCTGAGTTACAGCGCCGTGTAGTCTTGTAGAAGTTTACGAATATCATCGCCCTGTTTATGGAGGCTGCAAAGACCACTGAAGTGCTGTTAAATGTCTACTAGACTACACGGCGTTACTACCCAAAAGAGAGCCATTTGCGGACTCACCGCCGTAGAAAACCTCAAATCCCATTGTAAAATAAATTTACATTCGATTTCTACTTTGTAATTGATTAACAGAATGATGAAACGGAAAGAAAAGTGTCAGGACGAAAGAAAGGATTGAGAGATGAAGAAATAAATACGGATGGGGAATAACAAAAGAAAACTGATGTAGCTGCCAACTGAAATCAAATATCGCTACGATTATTTCGAAGTGTCATCGGAAGAAACACCGTCGTGGATCCACGCGTCACTTAAAGCCGTCGTTAATGAATGTCGTGCTCCTGGTTGCAGTCGATCTCTCGAGAACAGACATATATCCTGCGGCACTTATCTGAGCCACTTGAATCATTATGATATAGCTTCGGGAGTTCCCCGCGAGATATCGAGATGCGTCACACAGACATGATAATCCTAGTACTCAGACGACACATCGTCCCTTGAAATTACAGCAGCATCGTGCATGAAGGGCGAGGGAGCAAGGAATGAGAGCGGGGGTGGGGATGGGGGGTTGGGGCAAGGCTTTTATTAGGTTCCAATCACTTTCACAAATGGAGTTTGCGTTTACCGCAGTCGTGAGTTTCCGGTGAGTGGAAGAAGAATGAAGAAGCTTGGTTCACATGAGTACGTCCGCGCACACTTAGAGATTTGATACGGTTCATATAAAAATAATTTTATTAGACGATAAATTACTGTGATCGAAGATATGGAAGATGTGGGCACAGATGGGAAGATCATATAAAAATAGATCTTAGGGACATAGGGTTGGATTAATGTGGCTCTGGATGGCGGGCTCTTGTGAGCACGGTAATGAACCTCCATTTTCCATAGAAGACGGGAAATATCTTGACTAGCTGAGAGTACTGCTAGATTTTCAAGAATGACTACTCCGTGGAACTTCATTTGTTACGTTCATATACTTTGTTATTTGCTAAATCTTGAGACATTTATTAAATAAAAATATTTCCTCCTTTCGTTTTGAAACATGCGTATGTGTAAATAAATGAGCCACTAACTAGCCGAGTAAGTAACAAGTCAGCTGAGCGAGTAACTAAATAACTGACTAACTAACCGGCCGTCTAATTGTCTGACTATCTAACAAACTGATTCTTTGCCTGTGTAATTAACTTGTGATGCAGCTGGATAAATAATGTAGCGAACAGATGAAGAAGAGACTGGGACTGGTCAATTATGTAACCCTTCGAAGCAAGAAGTTTTTCTAACCAATATTAAAAAAATAAGTTCCTATTTCAAAGAAAATAAAGTGTCTCGTTTACAAAAACCAGTTGGTTAATGTTGTTTAGTAAATAATTGTTTATTTCCCACGGTGCTTTAAAAGTTTTAAGGAAATAACCCCAGAATGTGGGTGTTCTTTAAGCAGTTGGCAGTTATTCAGTTCGTAAGGGCCATCCCTTCTGTTATGAAAGCCGACATCTTTTATTGCTAGACGAAGTGCTTCTTTGAGTTGCATTACTTACAAATTCTTTGTTATCATTAACTTAGGCTAATGATAAAGGATGTACAAAGTTGAGAGTTAGTTAAATAACTTTTATTATTACAACCATTCCTCATATTTACTCCATGGAGCAGAGCCCTTACTGAGAAGTAAACAATATATCAGATGGCCAAGAAACTGCCTAAGTAACTAACTAGATGGGTTAGGGAACCCGAAGGTTCATCACCGAATTAACCAAAGCCCTCCACCGGACCCTGTCCTGGGCCAACAAAATCCAGTCTCCTTCAACTCCTATCTCCCATAGATCCCTCCTGAGATTATCGTCCTATCTATGTCTAGGTCTCCCTAGAGGTCTCTTCCCCTCAGGCTTCCCAACCAGTACCCGGTACACAGCACGTAAGGAAACATAAATAACACTATATCCCATCCATGCGTGCCACATGTCCCGCCCATCTCATTCTTCTCGACTTAATCACCCTGACAATATTGGGGGAGCAGTACAGATTTTTAAGCTCGTCATTATGCAGTTTTCTCCACCCCCCATCGTCTTTCCTCTTAGGCCCAAATATCCTCCTCAACACCCGATTCTCAAAAAAATCAATACAGTGCCTACAAACGCTCACGCTGAATCCTATCCTGAGCCACTCTTATCTAGTTTTGTTGAAATTTGGAATATTGTGCTTTAGTTTGTAACGTATTAAAATTTTCATTACAGTGTGTTTTAAGCCAGTGACCCATAAATAAGACAGACCAGCAACTAACTGAGCTAGCAAGAAGTAACTTCAGCAGTTGATAGTTAGTCAGGACATTCTATGCTTTTATAGAACTAATTTTATTTGAGGTTCATTTCAATATTATACTTCCATCGCCTCTTGAGTCTTCCAACCAAAATTCTTAATCCATTTCTTATCTCCCTCGCACGTGCCAGATATATTATCAAATTTCTTCCGCTGGAGGTTACTTCTGTGAACCTTCCCGATTGTGATGGTGGTTTTTTTTAAAATGAAGGGGATGATAGGAAACCTTACCAATATGGTTTTGTGAGGGGGTGAATAAGCAATAGGGCGGATTCTATGTTGAATAGGTAAGGGGAGATCCAGGCCATTCTAAATACTGAGCACGATAGATTCATAATGAAGTTTTCCAATATTGCAGCCATGTGGAGAGGTGGGGTGGGTATGTATACAATAGGCTTCTAACAAGTTGCAAACTTACTGCTTCCTTTTCGCTTAAGAGAGGGCACAATGTGCAGGGTTAACTTGCCCTAGTGTTAGGGGTTGGCGTGAATGAACTTCTATACAATTCAGTCTGTAATTAGAAGCTTCGAGTTAAGAACAAAAGTAAATTGCTATAAAGATAAAGCCATGATAATGATGGTTCAGAACTTCTCCTTTTTATAGTTACATATTGAACTGTTAAGTTATAATATTGAAACAAAAACTAATTAACCCTTTGAAGTCTTAGCTCGTCTAAATAATGTTTAAGAATTTAGTCCATACCGCAAAGAAAACACGCCACTTCACCATTACAAACGCGATCGCCCTGATGATCGAGGCAGCGAGGACCTCTTAAAGGTCGGAAAACTTCTGTCAGACTACAGGGTGCAACAACCCAGAAGACCCCGTGAGCATCCGACCGGAAGTTATTTCTTGCGTTATTTAACGACGCTTTCTGAACTCCGTAATTTACGCACATATTTTAAAGTGATGATGTATGATGATTTTGTATTTGGAAGGAACAGCATGGTCTGAGGAAGACCATGAGAAACCCCAGTCAGGATAGCCGGTTTCCGGGATGAGAACTGAACCTAGGGTGTTCCGTATACGAAGCAGTTACCATTCAATCATGACCTTCTATGAAAGTAGAAGGATAATATTAAGATGGGTCGTTGGGTGACGGGTTGTTAGGGTCGGGGGTGGATGTAACTGGCTCAGGATCGTATTCAGTGGCGGACTGTGGTTTGGGCAGTTTTAAACATTTGTGTTCTACTGGCAGGGTCAGTAATAGATAAGGGTACAATGCTGGCCAAATACAGAGTTCGTTACAGTTCATGAACTGCTCAGAAGCTTTGCCGATGTTGTGGAATACGGCGGTAGAAATACAAAGCGGCTGGATTTCAGTTGTTTTAATTATGTGTAAAGCAGTGAAACAACGGACTGTTAATCAACGGATGGCATAAACGGGGAAGATGGCTCATAAACATAACAGTTTCCCTGCAGCTGCGGAGTTCTCGTTGTTTTTAATGAGACCTGACTTTCACATCGGTGCAATTTGAAAGTCGCGATGCGACACACACTCAGAAACTGACACCATGAAATGGACGGAAAATTATATTACCTTAATGAACGTTTTGTTTCAAATGTTTATTCACAAGGTGTACTTTTATCACGGCTTCCCTTTATATACGAAATGGTCTGCATTAGTTTTGCTCATACACGATTGTTTCTATTAGGAATTACTTTTAAAACTTCACATTTCATGTTACATTCGTGGAGTCAAACAAACACCTTAACAACATTTTATAAATAAAGCTATCACAGTACTTACAATTAAAACATTAAAGCAATTACAGTTTACATTTAAACCCTCATTTTACAATTATAAACGCGGTTTGATTGTCTGGTACTCAAATTGGCGTACAACATTCAGCACGCCTTAATATAGGGAACAACATTCAAAATACCCACCCAATATTTCTGTTCGCACAGCTGTGATTCCGTGTATGATATATTGACAAAACGTTTTGTTTTTTTAACAGCGAGTTTAATCGTGATTATTTTAGGTCTGTGTGTTCCGTACGTAGAACCATAATAGGAATAACTTCCTGTCGGTTTGCGCGTGTGTTATATTTTCAAAACACAACTAATTTCGATTAAATTTCTTATGGGAGAGTGGCATGTGCCACTTTCATAAAAAACAGATTATCCTACAAAAAGTTGGTACACGACATAAAATAGACGGTGTAGGAATGAGATCAATGATTTTTATTGAAAACATTTTTCGACACTGCGTTATCAGAATGTAACTAACTAACTAGATTTCTTACCGAACCCGAAGTTTCATCACCGAATTAACCAAAGCCCTCCACCGGACTCTGTCCTGGGCCAACAAAATCCAGTCTCCTTCAACTCCTATCTCCCATAGATCCCGCCTGAGATTATCCTCCCATCTACGTCTAGGTCTCCCCAGAGGTCTCCTCTCCTCAGGCTTCCCAACCAATACCCGGGGCACAGCACGTAAGGAAACATAAATAACACTATACGACTAAGCATTACAGTATTGTTATCAATTTATAATCATTAAGCAGAAGGTCTGGTTCCTCTATGAGATGACGTCACTTATTTCCTTGTTTGGAGTGTGTTGTGACCGTGTTTATTATAGTCACGTGCCATACACCCACAACACATCAGTCCACACATTTCCTGCATCATTAACAAATGAAGGATTCTAGTTGTGTCTAAGTTCTTTCAAGAAGGGTACATCCAGTAATCTAGCATCTGCTGGTGTGAGGCATGAGAAAGCAGTCCTTGGATCTATGGCTCGTTGAATGTTGCTCTACACCAGTGGTTCTCAGAATTGTTGTGTCTGGTATCACTGATTAAGTCAAAGAAAAGTCTGGTACCCCATGCAAAAGAAATTTGGAAAAAACACAACCTAAATTTGTATTGCTAGAAAAGAGTACATAGTACAGCTTGGTTAAATTAGTTTTAATGTGGAAAATGTTTGAACTTACGTCAGGTTTCAAGAAGGTCCGTCCATTAGTTTTGTGTTTAATTAATGATGTAAGTTACGTTCTTGAATGAGGATTTATGGTACCCCTGGAAAGCATCTCTGGTAATCTAAGGGGTACCGGTACCACAGTTTGAGAACCATTGTGGTCCATCAGAAATCTCAAAGAAGGTGATTTCCGAGGGTTATCGTACGGACGTGAAAAATTATTAACTGCTGCTTATACTAATTCCAGGATTAAGCATCTACACTGTGTAAGTTTTGATTGGTTGGTTGGTTTATGATCATTACTTTAAAATCACTGTTTGCATCATATTAAATCGTATTATATTCTTTAATTGAACCAAGAACAACAACGATTTTAATCTGTTAGGTGTTACAATAAAAATATATTTTAAGTACTACTTAAGATTCATAAGTCATTCTTGACGTGTAATTTTCTAGTAA